ATATTTAAATGATTAATATTGTTAATAAGATAATTAAATTATAATAAAAATATAAAACAAATAAATAATTTTTTTAATAAAAAATAAAATTAACTAACTAATTAATATTCATTGATGAAGCATTTGACTTATTAACTGTTTTTATGGTCAACATTTATTTCTTGTTTTTTCTTTGCTGAATTGGAAGATCCCCAAACAAACACATCACATTCACATTATAACCTGCAGTCCTACAACCATTCTTGAGTTATTCATCTCATCCAATTTTCTTTGCAAGCATATTTCCTCAACAAACTTTTGACTTGATTCAAAGATCAAAATTATCAGGAGGTCTCATGTTCAAATTCAATGAGGAATAAAAAATCCTTTGTGGCCACGGATGCGGTGAATCCGGGTTATCTGTAAAGCAGGTAGTCGTCCTGGGATTAGTCTGCTTGTATAACGGGTTGAAGATCCAAGTTAATAAAAAAAGGGATCCTTCAATCATGCATTCAATGGTGTCTTCTTCAACTTCATCCAATCACAAGATCAACTTTAAGTACGATGTATTTTTGAGTTTTAGAGGTGAAGACACTCATACCAACTTCGTTGATCATCTTTATCACGCTCTTAAGCGAGAACGCATTGAAACTTACAAGGATGACAAGAATCTCAAAAGAGGAGGAAAAATCAGTAAGAAGCTCATTCAAGCCATTGAAGACTCAAAATTCCATGTCGTTGTTTTCTCCAAGAACTACGCATCTTCATCATGGTGCTTGGATGAGTATTGGGAAGACAAATATGCAATGAGTTTGATGGTAGCAGCTTTGTTGAGAATGCCCGTGAATCTTCAAATTTCGTTTTATTAGGTTTGAAGTCGTTGCAACAACAGGTCTTAGAGATGTGTTAAATAGGCAAGATATCACTATACATGGTGTTTTTGACGGGGAAAAAGATGATGAAAAAGAATATGCCTGGTATAAAGGTTCTTGTTGTTCTAGATGATGTGGATCATATAGACCAACTTAAGGCCTTAGCCGGTGAACCTAATTGGTTTAAGCCGGGAAGTAAAATCATCATTACAACAAGAAACAAGCAAGTACTGCTAGCACAGAAAGTGAACCGGATTCATGATGTCAATATGCTAACGGATTTAATTGTTGATGATAAACATACTACCTTAGTATAGCAATTTAATTGTATGTATTTTTGCAACATCTTCCTTCCTTCTAATGGTCTGTGCTTCTCTCTCATTTCTTTCTAGGTTTTAGTTTTCTTAATTAGATTTTAATGAATAGATAGAAAGAAAGAAAATGAGGTAAATGTCTAAAATGCCCTTTCTGTTACTTGTTTAAATGGTAGTAAAAAGGGAAAGTAAGCAAGAAAAAGAGGCTTTTGTATGAATGATGAACTACCTGAAGAGATCTAGTGTCACAATATCTTGTCGTTTGTCACTTTCATCTTCAGTTACTGATTCACCAGATTCCTTATCCTCAGATGCTTCTTCAACATCCTCCCGCCGTTCGTCTTCTGATTCATCATCGGCTTCCTCGTGCTTACTTTCTTTCTCAGTTTCGCCTTTTTGCTGCTTTTCGTCTTTTGTTCCACTACAACCACATTCTTCAACATGCAGCTGCTTCTTTTTTTCTACTTCACCAGATTCCTTATCTTCAGTTTCATCAATTACTACAATTTCGTCAAACTCCTGCCTTAATTTCTCCATTGCTTCAGCAACATCCCATGGCTGCAACAATTAAATTAAGTGTATATATATATATATATATATATATATATATATATCATCCCATACTTATCTATCTATCTATCGAGTTAAGACTAGCTAATATGATCACCTCAGAGATTACTGCCTGAATTTCTAACATGGCCTTAATAACGTTTGGTCGTGGACCATATATGTCCGCAAACTGCTCCCAATTTGAACTACCAGGAGGAGGACATGTTGGATCAATCTGAACATATTTCCACAATTTTAAGAACCACCCATAAAATTAAACAGAATTTACTTATTATTGTCAAGTTGGGTCTTAAATAACAGAACAAACCGTTATCCATGAAGCAGATACAATTTGTATTCTCAAGATATTACTTCCGTACTCGCCAATCAGAGGCAGAACCTATATAAACAACAAAACTTAAGAGGAGCAAAACAGTAAAATTTGGGTTTTTGATTCGGTCCAGATTTATCACCTTTTCGAAGGGGATGGCCATTCGGTGATGATGAACAGTTGGCGGCATCAGAATTACTGGAAAAATGAAACCATCATATGCCTGCAAATTAAGAATTAATGAAGCTCAATATGGAAGTGTAGGTATTACAAAGTGCACATGTCAGTTTTGCATTTTGAAAACAATAAGCAATAATCAGTTTAATCGTGCATCAGTAATTAGTTGTGTGCAAGTAATAGCTTGGGTAACCTTTATGATTTCATCTATAATGAGTTCTTCAGCAGTTTTAACTTCCTCAACGGTACCCACCAAGTCCAGATATGCATGATGATGAAAATTGGTTTCAGAATCAGCTAATATCCCAATTGTAGCTTTAGAGATACGGTGAATGTTTTGTAACCCTTCAGTCCCTTCTTGATCTTTCACAAGAACCCTGATAAGCTGTGAATAAAATAAAAGAAGGACACACATTATCAGGAAAAGCCGGGTTACGCATTCGGAACAGATAAAATGTGTGGTGTCACGCACGTCTTTATTACGAATCCGGTATACTTTCCTATCTGCTTGTGCTCCTGCAGCAACTGCCTCAGCTAGTTGCTGAGATCTTCGTCCATTATCTTCTGATAACATTAGAAAATATTCCATCAGATGATCAGAACCAAAAGTACCAACAACATGTTCTTGAACAATTTTCCACTGGATCGATGTTATGTGTATTGATCATCAACATTGGATACAATTTAATCATAGTGCATATAATTGAAAACTGAAAAGGATGCAGAAGCTTTACATATTCATGAAACTAAAAATTTCCTAGAGATTATTGTTGGACAGCAGCCTAATCTAATGGAGAAAACTCATTGATACACCTTCTCAAACACACACACATTACACATCTACGGCCTTGATCGACATTTTCCACAAATATGTATATCTTAGTGACTGGAAGATTCAAATGGAACCAATGCTATTCTTGATACGTATTTGTGAATACTACACTTAGAAATAAACGAGATGAATTTACATGACTTGAGAGATATCTCAGAGAAAGACATTACAAAGTACATTAATTTCATGGAGATCTCGAACTTCTTACCGAAAATTCTCAAATAGCAGAGATCGTCAGTGGGATCACTACCAGGCTTCAGTAAAGATTTAGGCAAACGCAGGTTTGGCTCTTCAATTTTGGCCATATCATATATGTAACTTGGATTTGGCTCCATTTTCTTGCCTCCTCTGAGAGATGGCAGAGCGATTTGAGAATTGGCAGAGGAAGAAGACGAACAGGAAGAAATGGCAATGAGAGTTGTGCGTTGCCGTGAAAGGGATTTACAGATCGTTTCAACTCAAAAGACAAAAAAAGGCGGGAAATGGCCAAATGGGTCGTTATTTAACTACATAATTTACATTTCAAGTCCTTCAAGATATAATTTGCTTATGATTGGTCCCTCAGATTGCAAGTCTCGTTTCTCAAATAGAAATACCTTTTTTTCTCTTTAAGACGATAAACTTTTGTCACTTATTTATTTATTGATAATTTATTATGTAATGTGTATTTTTAGAATGGTTGTTGAAATAATTAAAAATCATATCTAATATCAGTGGTAGACTCATAATTTTCTCTAAATGCTAATACAAATTGACTATAAAAAATATCTAAATTAATCACAAAGGTGGTGTCTGATTGGTTTGAGCTTGGCTCCAAAAATCAAAAGTACCAGGAGGTCCTAAGTTCAAATCCAAGAAGGAATAAAAATCCCCTTGTGGTCATGGAGGTTCAAATGCGGTGACTTCGGGCTATCTGCAAAACAGATGGTCGTCCTGAGATTAATCAGCTCGTATAGCGGGTTGGATATCCAGCTTAATAAAAAAAATCTTTTTAAAGATTTTAACTTTATACATTTTTATTTTGAAAAATCTGTTAAAAATGATTTTATAACTTACAATTGAAGTCATCATTATCTTGTTATAATTGTTAATAGGGAGACAAATTGGTATGGAAAACACATTTATATTTTTTCTTGACAATAAGAAATAAAAAATATTGTATTCTTTTTATCTGATATAATTATATAATATGTAAATTCATATATATTATTGTATTATGACATTGGTGTGCATATATAACCATTTTAAATATTATATATTTTTTAAATTTTATATATAATATTTAAAAAAAGAGATGGCAAAAGTTTTATTCTATTTAAAAACGTATTTGGTTTAGAAGAACGGAACTTGAAATATGTGTTTGCATACAGGGACTAATCATAAACAAAACATATCTCAGAGGACTTAAGTGTAAATTATGTAGTTAAAAGTCATGTCATCTGATAACAGATTTTCCCGCCTTTTTTTATTTC